TAAAAAAGTTTAAATTATCCAATACATTTCGTTCCACTTCACGATTGTGTCCCACTTGTTGTTGATTCATGACAAAAAATTTAAATTTTATATCTTTATGTTTGAAGCCTGAAATGTGGCAAAATGTTGAAAGGTTCAAGGGGGCCGAATACTTTCGCAAGGCACTGTATATACAGACATATCAGAAAATATCATACCCCAAAGAGAGATGGTTGGAGAGAGAGAACCTTGGAAGACTAGGCTGCTACAGAGAGTTGACACCGACCAAGAGCCCAAACTAGTTCATTCCAGCTCTCTATATACTGCTGTGAGGTCACTCTCAGGATTCTCCTGGGAGAGTCCCCTGGATTGGTCAGGGGGGGTCAGCCAGGAGAGAGCCAGCCCCCATGGAGGGGGGACATGGACATCAGATAAGGGGGACAATCCAGACCAACACCTTTTCCGACTGAGATTCAAACCCAGGACCTTCTTACAGAGCAGCGAGAGTGCTAACCACTCAGCCATTGGTCCATAAGAAGATTAAAACAATGACTGTAGCTCGGGTCAATGTTTGTGAATCAAGTTTAATGTCATTCTTCACAATCATCGGTTAAGAACGTTTTTATTCACCTCCTACTGCTAATGTCTCCTCATCGCGGTTGGATTTCTTTTGTAGTTTGTCACAAAACAGATTCATCGTTGTTTTGTTTTTCACTCCTCCTTGACTGCTGCAGATATTTTACTATTATTGTCACCCAAACCTACACTGTCTGGTAATGAGTACTTTGTTTTCATGGAAGCAAATGATAGTGATGCATTTAAAGACGAAAACAAAAGCTGAAAAAGTCGGTGAATGACATATGAAAAATATAAAAATAACGCTGGCTCTGTTCCGGGCTTGGTTTCTTCTTTGATCATGTTGTGGCTTTAGTTCCTCTTCTCTTCCTCACTGTTGTGTGGTTTGGGCTGTTTTGCTGTGTCTGCAGTTACAGCCAGAGGAGTTATAGCCACTTATGCTAACATGCTACTGTGTTTAGCAGCGCTGTAGAGGCTAGAGGACGCAGCCTCGCTCTGTGATTGGAGGAGAGCGGGCGTCACGCTAAGTCTCTACTCAGCACTTTTTACGGCCTGAGTTCATCCACAGATGAATCAATGAGCTCAAGTTTTACATTAAATTACGGATTATAACACAACTTGAACTCATTAGAAAATAAATTGGGAATAGCATCTTTAAGGACAAACTCCCGAGGTCATCCACCCCTTGGTGACCACTACAGTATTACAGTGTCCAGGAGAAGATATATGAAAGACACACTTGGACCTCCACACGCAGACACAGTGTCCACGTCCATCGAAAAATATCTCTGAGAGGACACGCTGGGATTGGAAACCATGATTCATACTCAGAGCCGTGTGAATGTGTGAGTGCTGCAGGATGGACGGACTGCGAGCTGGAGAAGGATCAATGGCGTGATTGACTGACTGGCTGTCAACTGGGCCCGTCTCCGCTGAGGTGTAATCACTGAGGTGGAATAGCCGTGCTTCTATGAGCCATAAATCTCAATCTGACTGCCCAGGGACAGACGTGGCGACCGCTGGCTCCGGAGTAGTGCTCTGTGAACGACCTGCTCTTCACACCCAACTTCACTCTGACTGTGTATGTTTTCGGTCTTGTACTTTTGTTCTCCGTAACCGCTGGAGTTGCTCGGAATTGCCTTTTATCTCAAGGCAGGTTTATTGAGTACAGCACAATTCAAACACAAACTGCTGAACGAAACAAGATGGAGACCGCCACACAAGGCATTCAAATCATAAATAATCTCACAGTACATTACAAAGAATGTACCCTGGTCTTACCGCACCATGGTACTCATTTAATTAGCACTAAGGTCTGGATTGTCTCCATTGACTCCGTTAACAGGTGGGAGGGGCTAACTCCTTTTGCAGATTGAAACCATTGGATCTGAGTTTATTGTGACGTATGTAATGAGCCCGAGTGAGTCGTTAGCATTTAGCCTAGCTTTAGCATTTAGCCTAGCTTAAGCCATCTCCTTTGCCACTAACAGAGCTTGTTTGGAGTATGTATGGATGTACAAGTATCGATGGATGGATGCACTTTCTTGCTAACGTATAGCTAACACAAAACGCAATTTTTATTTTTGTTTAAGTTAAGTTTTTAGTAAGTTTTTATTTATATACCGCCTTTTCACTGCAGATCTGAGTCTCTGTTAATCTGTTTATTTTTCACAAAGCACATGTCTGTTAGTCCTAGTTTCATCACATCTCACGGAGGAGGTGTAGCGTCCGTACAGAGCATTGGCCTTTGACCCTGAAGGTCGTGGGTTTGAGTCCACCGCAAGACCTTCTCCACTGATGTCTGCTGTCGTTATGTCCTTGGGCAAGACACTTAACCCCACTTTGCCCACAAGAGGCGCAGAAGTAGTGTACGCTGCTTGCCTTGATGTTTATGTGTGTATTCAACAAACCTGAAATGTCCCACTTCTTCTTCTACTTCTGTTGAGCCTGTACCAAACTTTGTACCTGGAACTTGAATGTAAATCCCGATCAAATCCCAAACTTTAGTAAAAACATGTAGCGTACAGTGTGTGATGGATTCCACAGCTGACTCTGCTTCGAAACTGGCTCTGCTCTGATGCCGGTCATTTACATATGAAGGGGCAGACAGAGAAGGGAAGCAGGGATTTGCACGTTCTCCTCATGTCATAAAGCACATGTCCCTGTTTTAACATTGTACTCTCTTGTTTTCTTTTATGGAGGCGGGGAGGAAGCTGTATGTGGCTCTTTTGGTTTTGAATGGGATGGACCTGGACCTGGACCTGGACCGTTGCTCTGAGGGACCTGGACCTGGACCGTTGCTCTGAGGGACCTGGACCTGGACCTGTTCTTGGACCTGTACCTGGACCTGGACCTGGACCGTTGCTCTGAGGGACCTGGACCTGGACCGTTGCTCTGAGGGACCTGGACCTGGACCTGTTCTTGGACCTGTACCTGGACCTGAACCTGGACCGGTGCTCTGAGGGACCTGGACCTGAACCTGGACCGTTGCTCTGAGGGACCTGGACCTGGACCTGTTCTTGGACCTGTACCTGGACCTGGACCTGTTCTTGGACCTGTACCTGGACCTGGACCTGTTCTTGGACCTGTACCTGGACCTGGACCTGTTCTTGGACCTGTACCTGAACCTGGACCTTATCAAGATTCATAAACACAGCCTTGATGCTATTTAGTGCAGGAGTCAAATAAGCAGCGGTGAACTTCAGGGTCCCTGAAAAACCAAGAAAACTGTGAATTAAATAAAGTTTAGTGTAGACTGTGGAGATCTGACTTTGACACACAAAGAGAGAGAGAATAACAACTTTTATATTATACACATAAAAAACTGAGAGATCTGAACAGAAAGGCCCGATAGAAACTTCCAAAGGGCCACAACTGGCTCGTGGGCCGGGGTTTGACTTCCCCTGTTATAAAACGATATTCATAGTAAAAATGTGTTATGCAAATGCGAACACTGACCCCCACTAATATTATTGTTATTATTATTATTATATGTTTATTTGATAGGGACAGAACACTAATTCACAAACCTGGTCCTAAGACACTAAAATACTAAAATACTTCACATTTACATAGACACTATAAAAACCGCAGATTCCACAGTACAGAATATCTCCAACAGATTGCAGAGAGAACATGCAAACACATCTCGTTACTTGGAAACCCTTTGATGGGAAAGCACTGTAGTTTCTGTGTCGCCGCGGCCGGATCAGAAATGAGAAATCCCGCTTAACGTTGCCGCATGGAAACGACTCCCAGATTACATCAGTTGTGAAAATCCTCTGTGAAGCTTAGCTGACGTTGTACGGTGTCCCACTGGACTCTGACGTCATGCCACTGATCACATGATTTATTTTATTATCACTTAATTTACCACAGAAACCTCACTCTAAAATTAACTTAAATTGTCAGAATAGTCCAATAGTCTTGATGATCCACCCGGAAGTGAAAAATCCTCCTCTTTACCTTTAAGCCTTGCTTCTGCATCATGAGGAGTTTAGACTGATTATGCCAGAGATAGAGATTTTATACTGTTTCTTCTTCTTTCTTGCCATCCATTCTAGCCTGGTCGTACCACACCATTGTACTCATTTCATTTCTTTCAAAGGTCTGGATTTGCTCCATTGGCTCCGTGAACAGGTGGGAGGGGCTAACTCCTTTTGCAGATTGAATCTGAGTTTACTGTAACGTATGTAATGAGCCCGAGTGAATGAGGCATTAGCCTAGCTTTAGCATGTAGCCTAGCATTAGCATGTAGCCTAGCTTTAGCCATCTCCTTTGTCACTAACGGAGCCCGTGGGGAGTAGAGCCACAACATCTTTGCTTCAATGACATTTACTAAACATTCCTCTTGCTCCGGCTTCAGTTTCTTGATATTTGGATTCAACCAGAACAGATTATTTTACTATCACATTCTCCATGGTCCGGTACCATTTACACATGGTAAGACCAGACGTACATGTAGGAAATGATCATGAACCAGAGTTTACACATGGTAAGACCAGACGTACATGTAGGAGATGACCATGGACCAGAGTTTACACATGGTAAGACCAGACGTACATGTAGGAGATGACCATGGACCAGAGTTTACACATGGTAAGACCAGACGTACATGTAGGAGATGACCATGGACCAGAGTTTACACATGGTAGGACCAGACGTACATGTAGGAGATGATCATGGACCAGAGTTTACACATGGTAGGACCAGACGTACATGTAGGAGATGATCATGGACCAGAGTTTACACATGGTAGGACCAGACGTACATGTAGGAGATGATCATGGACCAGAGTTTACACATGGTAGGACCAGACGTACATGTAGGAGATGATCATGGACCAGAGTTTACAGACGGCTAATGCTAGGCTAACACTGTTTGATTTCTGCTCAACATGACACCCTTTGAGTCCGATCCGTCTGCAGACGTCTGTGACACTGATAATGACAGGACCCAGTGATTACTCTCCCTGTGACCCGTACGCAAACCCACCGCCATCAGATTTGCATCAGCATTGCATTATGGGCATTATTCATGGTGCGGTCTCATAGAAAGGGCCTGAGCAGAATGATGGATCGCTGTAATGCATTTCACTTAGAAGTACGGAGGAGCACCATTGATTTCTTTAGGGCTTTGTGTAAACAGCGAAGGATGCAGAATGTTGGAGGACGTTCAGCCCGAGCGTGAATGAAGTGATGGACGTGTTGGAGAGTTCGTACAGTATTGTTTGCGATTGGAGAATGTGATGCGTGTTGGAGGCGTGTGCGTGTTAAAGGGCAGCGGTCGGAGGCGGCTTCAGCGATCACGTAATTCATTTCCAGTTGTTCTCGTGATGAAAGAGGAGGTGGCAGAGAAACAACACACAAAACTGCTCTAACGACACTAAGATGAATGTGTTTGCAAGACGGAAAATGTAAAATCTCATTCTAAAGCGCTTGGTCTGTAAAATGCGCTACATAAATAAACATTACTTTCTTATTTACACGTGAGAAGGCAGACTCTCTCCAGTCTCTCCAAACTACATCTGTGACATGTTAGAGCCAAATGGACCAACTCTGAGGAGCACAGGGACTAGGGCCTCCTGCTGGGACTCTGAGGAGCACAGGGACTAGGGCCTCCTGCTGGGACTCTGAGGAGCACAGGGACTAGGGCCTCCTGCTGGGACTCTGAGGAGCACAGGGACTAGGGCCTCCTGCTGGGACTCTGAGGAGCACAGGGACTAGGGCCTCCTGCTGGGACTCTGAGGAGCACAGGGACTAGGGCCTCCTGCTGGGACTCTGAGGAGCACAGGGACTGGTCTCCTGCTGGTCCCAGAGTCAGGACTAAACATGAGGAGGCAGCATTTCAGATCAATGCAGCTACAATATGGAACAGTCTTCCAGAAAATACGAGACAGCACTTTGAGTTCCCGTGTGTATGAACTGTGCTATACCATTAAACCTGCCTCACCTTCATGACGCCCACTTTCCCAGCCGTAGCATGTGGTAAAATAGATATTAGTATAAAAACGTGCAGACGAAGGTGTGACTGTGTTTCCCTCTGACACTTATTTTTAAGAGAGCTACAATTAGATTTTTGTTTTCAATTTGAGAGATTTAGGGTTCTCACATCTTCTGAAAATTACCGTTTGGATAATTCAGTCCAAACTCCACCATCTCTCAAGTCCATAGTTTTGTTCATTTATATAAACTCTCATGTTCAAGGTTTATTTAAAGGTAAATATTTAGCTTTTGGCTCAAACACAGACAGCAAGAGACGCCCCATTCCCACCATCCCTACTCTACTCTACTCTACTCTACTCTACTCTACTCTACTCTACCCTACCCTACCCTACCCTACCCTACCCTACCCTACCTATCCTACCCTACCCTACCCTACCCTACCCTACCCTACCCTACCTACCCTACCCTACCCTACCCTACCCTACCCTACCCTACCCTATCCTATCCTACCACCTACCCTACCCTACCCTACCCTACCCTACCCTACCCTACCCTACCCTATCCTATCCTACCCTACCCTACCCTACCCTACCCTACCCTACCCTACCTACCCTACCCACCCCTACCCTACCCTACCCTACCCTACCCTACCCTACCCTACCCTACCCTACCCTACCCTACCCTACCCTACCCTACCCTACCCTACCCTACCCTACCCTACCCTACCCTACCCTACCCTACTCTCCTCTACTCTACCCCGTGGGCGGCACGGTGGCTGAGTGGATAGCACTCTCGCCTCTCAGCAAGAAGGTCCTGGGTTCAAATCCCGGCCGGACCAGGGCCTTTCTGAGTGGAGTTTGCATGTTCTCCCCGTGTCTGCGTAGGTTTCCTCCGGGTACTCCGGTTTCCCCTACCACTAAAAATATGTCCAATAGTTCTAGCATGCGCCTCCTGTACTGGCCCCTCCCATCTCTGTGTGGAGTGAGAGACAAATGCCCAAAAATAACAATTGTAAACCGCTTTGAGACTCAGATCTGCAGTGAAAAGGCGGTATATAAATAAAAACTTACTTACTTACTACTCTACTCTACTCTACTCTGCCCTACTCTACTCTACGCTACTCTACTCTACTCTACTCTACTCTATTCTACTCTACTCTACTTGACCCTACTCTACTCTACTCTACTTTGTCCTACTCTACTTTAGTCTACTCTACTCTACTTGTGGGTGTTGCCTCTGGCCCTGGTTAATTGATACCCAGTACTTTTTAGCACCTGCGTGGCCCTGGTTCTATCCAGGCCTGACTTTATTTCCCAAGTGAAATGAGAATCTTTACAATGAAATATCTGCTTATTATATAATTTGAACATAAATGCATACATCGACTGCTCCCCCTGGTGGTTGGGAGGTGAGTTACAGCAGGAAAAGACAGTTTTACCATTCATATTTGTTTCAACATGTATTTTCAGATAATATTTCAGATTCAAAGTTTATAGTCCTATTATCATGTTTAATGTCCAAAAATCCATAGTTATTTCCACAGCAATCTGCCTTCGAATCCTCTGTTTCTTTAAGACCTGCGTCATCCAGTTTGTAGGTACAGTACGACCCATGCATTTTTCATCCATAAACAAATCCACAGCTGCAGTCTTCCAAACGCTCTTTTCCTGAACTGCGCTTGAACTTTCGCCCTTCACCGTGGAACATTTTGTATCTTTTTTCTGTCTCTCACGGCTGCAAATACCACTCAGGCTGTTAATACCCTCACTCTGGGCCGTGTAAAGCTACCATTTTATGCCTTAGAAACCCTCTTTGGGCCGTAAAGACCACGTACACAGAAAAAATAATGGAGTGAGCCGCTATTCCCGCACAAATCAGTGGGAGCTGTAAGTCAAGGTTCTGTGGTCAGGGCTGCGGCCGCCTGAAGCCGTAAAGATGAATTGTGTTGTGGAGGTTGAGCTTTTATTCTGCTGTGTTTATGAGGCTTGAGGGACGCCGTTATGAGGCTTGGGTGTTTGGTAATCAGCCTCGGAACAGGAGCGGCGGTGTGTGTGTGTGTGTGTGTGTGTGTGTGTGTGTGTGTGTGTGTGTGTGTGTGTGTGTGTGTGTGTGTGTGTGTGTGTGTGTGTGTGTGTGTGTGTGTGTGTGTGTGTGTGTGTGTGTGTGTGTGTTTATAGGTATGGCCATAACACTTAGCTCTCCAAGCCACAACAATAGACTTGCTTAGTCTGGTGTTTTAAATGCATGTATAAACGGCGTGTCACACCCTGACGACTGCATCTGTTTTTGCCGTTTACGAGCGTTCACTAAACCTGGTGCATTTTTTATCCTGTTTTGGGAAAGATTTCGAGCGGCGTCTGTTCATTGTAAAGTGGACATGTCCAAACTTCATCAAGTCATACATGTAATAATTTATAAAGTCTGTAAGTGTTTTGTGAATGGGAACTCTTGCACGAAGCTACATTAGCTTAGAGACGGGGCCAAGATGTAAACAAATGTCATATCATACCCTTCCAAAGTGAAATTTTATATTGTTATTTTGAGGAAACAAGCTAAAGGGAGATTATGCTGCTAACATGTACAGTAGTGTCACATGCTAACATGTACAATAGTGTCACATGCTAACATGTACAGTAGTGTCACATGCTAACATGTACAGTAGTGTCACATGCTAACATGTACAGTAGTGTCACATGCTAACATGTACAGTAGTGTCACATGCTAACATGTACAGTAGTGTCACATGCTAACATGTACAGTAGTTTCACATGCTAACATGTACAGTAGTGTCACATGCTAACATGTACAGTAGTTTCACATGCTAACATGTACAGTAGTGTCACATGCTAACATGTACAGTAGTGTCACATGCTAACATGTACAGTAGTGTCACATGCTAACATGTACAGTAGTGTCACATGCTAACATGTACAGTAGTGTCACATGCTAACATGTACAGTAGTGTCACATGCTAACATGTACAGTAGTGTCACATGCTAACATGTACAGTAGTGTCACATGCTAACATGTACAGTAGTTTCACATGCTAACATGTACAGTAGTGTCACATGCTAACATGTACAGTAGTGTCACATGCTAACATGTACAGTAGTGTCACATGCTAACATGTACAGTAGTGTCACATGCTAACATGTACAGTAGTATCCAGCCTGGGCCGGTCCCAGCTCCAAAAGGTCCATGAGCGCGTGGAATGACATGTATTCTCACTCCCCTCAGTTGTGGGGGTGTACCCGGAAAGAGAATTACCCAATGCTGTTGCATGGCGTCATCTTTCCTCTCCAAAACATCTTTACAGGATGGTTCAAAAGTGGCTCTTGGTCCAAAAGTGGCTCTTGGTCCAAAGCTTCGTTCCAGAGTATATATTTTGGACCAGTCTAGTTCAGCCGCTGTGGACTTTTGAATCTCAAAATAAGACTTTCTCTCGGCACATCACTCTGTCCAGCAGCACATGCCTTTGTCTGACTTTGGCACAAACGTCTGAGCGTGGACTCAATCTCCCAAAGATCCTCGCAGAGTGCACTCTCACACACTTCCTCTCTTCCTCACACACTTCCATCCTTCCTCACACACTTCCTCACACACTTCCTCTCTTCCTCACACACTTCCATCCTTCCTCACACACTTCCTCTCTTCCTCACACACTTCCTCTCTTCCTCACACACTTCCATCCTTCCTCACAAACTTCCTCTCTTCCTCAAACTTCCTCTCTTCCTCACACACTTCCTCCCCTCCTCACACACTTCCACTCTTCCTCACACACTTCCACTCTTCCTCACACACTTCCTCTCTTCCTCACACACATCCTCTCTTCCTCACACACTTCCACTCTTCCTCACACACTTCCTCTCTTCCTCACACACTTCCCCTCTTCCTCACAATCTTCCTCACACACTTCCTCTCTTCCTCACACACTTCCCCTCTTCCTCACAATCTTCCTCACACACTTCCTCTCTTCCTCACACACTTCCTCCCTTCCTCACACACTTCCTCTCTTCCTCACACACTTCCTCCCTTCCTCACACACTTCCTCTCTTCCTCACACATTTCCTCCCCTCCTCACACACTTCCACTCTTCCTCACACACTTCCTCTCTTCCTCACACACTTCCATCCTTCCTCACACACTTCCACTCTTCCTCACACACTTCCTCTCTTCCTCACACACGTCCTCTCCTCCTCACACACTTCCTCTCTTCCTCACACACTTCCTCTCTTCCTCACACACTTCCATCCTTCCTCACAAACTCCCTCTCTTCCTCACACACTTCCTCTCTTCCTCACACACTTCCTCTCTTCCTCACACACTTCCTCTCTTCCTCACACACTTCCATCCTTCCTCACAAACTTCCTCTCTTCCTCACAAACTTCCTCTCTTCCTCACACACTTCCTCTCTTCCTCACACACTTCCTCCCCTCCTCACGCACTTCCACTCTTCCTCACACACTTCCTCTCTTCCTCACAAACTTCCACTCTTCCTCACACACTTCCTCTCTTCCTCACACACTTCCTCACTTCCTCACACACTTCCACTCTTTCTCACACACTTCCTCTCTTCCTCACACACTTCCTCTCTTCCTCACACATTTCCTCTCTTCCTCACACACTTCCCCTCTTCCTCACAATCTTCCTCACACACTTCCTCTCTTCCTCACACACTTCCCCTCTTCCTCACACACTTCCACTCTTCCTCACACACTTCCTCTCTTCCTCACACACATCCTCTCTTCCTCACACACTTCCACTCTTCCTCACACACTTCCTCTCTTCCTCACATACTTCCCCTCTTCCTCACAATCTTCCTCACACACTTCCTCTCTTCCTCACACACTTCCCCTCTTCCTCACAATCTTCCTCACACACTTCCTCTCTTCCTCACACACTTCCTCACTTCCTCACACACTTCCTCTCTTCCTCACACACTTCCTCCCTTCCTCACACACTTCCTCTCTTCCTCACACATTTCCTCCCCTCCTCACACACTTCCACTCTTCCTCACACACTTCCTCTCTTCCTCACACACTTCCTCTCTTCCTCACACACTTCCATCCTTCCTCACACACTTCCACTCTTCCTCACACACTTCCTCTCTTCCTCACACACGTCCTCTCCTCCTCACACACTTCCTCTCTTCCTCACACACTTCCTCTCTTCCTCACACACTTCCATCCTTCCTCACAAACTCCCTCTCTTCCTCACACACTTCCTCTCTTCCTCACACACTTCCTCTCTTCCTCACACACTTCCTCTCTTCCTCACACACTTCCTCTCTTCCTCACACACTTCCATCCTTCCTCACAAACTTCCTCTCTTCCTCACAAACTTCCTCTCTTCCTCACACACTTCCTCTCTTCCTCACACACTTCCTCCCCTCCTCACACACTTCCACTCTTCCTCACACACTTCCTCTCTTCCTCACACACTTCCACTCTTCCTCACACACTTCCTCTCTTCCTCACACACTTCCTCTCTTCCTCACACACTTCCACTCTTTCTCACACACTTCCTCTCTTCCTCACACACTTCCTCTCTTCCTCACACATTTCCTCCCCTCCTCACACACTTCCTCTCTTCCTCACACACTTCCTCTCTTCCTCACACACTTCCTCCCCTCCTCACACACTTCCTCTCTTCCTCACACACTTCCTCTCTTCCTCACACACTTCCTCTCTTCCTCACACACTTCCTCCCCTCCTCACACACTTCCTCTCTTCCTCACACACTTCCTCCCCTCCTCACACACTTCCTCCCCTCCTCACACACTTCCTCTCTTCCTCACACACTTCCTCTCTTCCTCACACACTTCCTCCCCTCCTCACACACTTCCTCTCTTCCTCACACACTTCCTCCCCTCCTCACACACTTCCTCTCCTCCTCACACACTTCCTCTCTTCCTCACACACTTCCACTCTTCCTCACACACTTCCTCTCTTCCTCACACACTTCCTCTCTTCCTCACACACTTCCTCTCTTCCTCACACACTTCCATTCCTCCGTGGACCCCTCAGTTCGCGGCTTCTCTCCTGCAGCTGTTCTTTCCGAGCTTCCTGGATTCCTTCTGCAGGTGTTTGACGTCTGAATCCAAGAAAGCACTCACTCACATTAGAGGATATTAGCACCAAACACATTTCCTCTGGGTAGGGTTTACGTTTGGCACATCCTCATCCTGAAGTTTGTGGGTTTTTCGAGCCAGGATTTAAATGATGATGAAGATGATTGTTGCCTTTAGTTCAGAATATTCTTAGTGAGAGCTGGAGGCCTGGACCGTCGGATTGTAGAGGAGATAAGATACAGATTGGGGCGACAGTGGTTCAGATTGTAGAGCATTGGCCTTTGAGCCTGAAGGTCGTGGGTTTGAGTCCACCTCAAGACTTTCTCCACCGATATCTCCAACTGATCTCTGCTGTTGTTGTGTCCTTTGGCAAGGCACTTAACCTCTGTGAACAGCAGGTGCCACAGTGGGGCGGCTGCGGCTGTAAAGTGCCAGTCTGCTGTTGTGTCCTTAGGCAAGACACTTCCCCCACATTAGAATGAGTCTGGTGTGTGTGTGAATGGTTGGTGGTGGTGGGAGGGGCCGATGGCACAGACTGGTTGGCTCGCTTCTGTTAGTGTGCCCCAGGGCAGCTGTGGCTACAGTAGTAGTTTATCAGCACTGTGTTTGGAGAGAGAGAATAACGACATGTGAAGAGACTTTGAGGGTCCAAAAAGTTCTGTATAAAAAAGATAAGACAGACTTTATAGATCATTTAGCACAGACAGAATCACTCAGAATTTGTGGCAATAGCAGTGCAGGTTTTTAGTCCTAGTGCATTAGTCCGAAATGTACAGTACTTAATGTACAGTACTTAAGGTAATGTATCAGGACAGTCATGGTCAGAGTATTGTGTGTGTTGTTGTGAATCCGGGAGAACATGTTGTGTGTAATGATGGTGTTAGGCGTTGGTTTTCTGAGGAATATCATTTAAAATTCTACCATTTATAAAACACAAATAATCCACTCTTGCAGCTCGACTCACGAATTCCTCCGCTCACTGCGAACTATTCTTTTGAAACTCGTTCTTCCCTGCTATTGTTAAAACCCAAATTCAGAAGAGGATTAGTCCATGTCTCAGAGCAAACACCATTCATCACGTATCCATAGACCCTGAAGGAGTCGTGTTTTCGGCTGTTTTTCTTTTGTGTATCTGGTCTTTTGTGGCTGTTCTATCCACAGCCTTTTGTTTAGTGCTGCAGCTCCGGGGAAACCAACGATTAAGGAGTAAGTTGAAGCCTTAGCCTCTGTCCTTGTGGAGGCCGGAGGGACCGGGACGAGAGGGACCGGGACGAGAGGGACCGGGACGAGAGGGACCGGGACGAGAGGGACCGAGACGAGTGGGACCGGGACGAGTGGGACCGGGACGAGTGGGACCAAGACGAGTGTGGCCGGGACGAGAGGGACCGAGACGAGAGGGACCGAGACGAGAGGGACCGAGACGAGAGGGACCGAGACGAGTGGGACCGGGACGAGTGGGACCGAGACGAGAGGGACCGAGACGAGAGGGACCGAGACGAGAGGGACCGAGACGAGTGGGACCGGGACGAGTGGGACCGGGACGAGTGGGACCGGGACGAGTGGGACCGGGACGAGTGTGGCCGGCACGAGTGGGACCGGGACGAGTGGGACCGAGACGAGAGGGACCGAGAGGAGTGGGGCCGGGACGAGAGGGACCGAGACGAGAGGGACAGAGACGAGAGGGACCGAGACGAGTGGGACCGAGACGAGAGGGACCGAGACGAGAGGGACCGAGACGAGTGGGGCCGGGACGAGAGGGACCGAGACGAGAGGGACAGAGACGAGAGGGACCGAGACGAGAGGGACCGAGACGAGAGGGACCGAGACGAGAGGGACCAAGAGGAGTGGGGCCGGGACGAGTGGGACCGGGAAGAGTGGGACCGGGACGAGAGGGACCGAGACGAGAGGGAACGGGACGAGAGGGACCGAGACGAGTGGGACCGAGACGAGTGGGACCGGGACGAGTGGGACCGAGACGAGTGGGACCGGGACGAGTGGGACCGAGACGAGTGGGACCGAGACGAGTGGGACCGGGACGAGTGGGACCGAGACGAGTGGGACCGAGACGAGTGGGACCGGGACGAGTGGGACCGAGACGAGTGGGACCGGGACGAGTAGGACCGAGACGAGTGGGACCGAGACGAGTGGGACCGAGACGAGTGGGGCCGAGACGAGTGGGACCGAGACGAGTGGGACCGGGACGAGTGGGACCGGGACGAGTGGGACCGAGACGAGTGGGACCGGGACGAGTGGGACCGGGACGAGTGGGACCAAGACGAGTGTGGCCGGGACGAGAGGGACCGAGACGAGAGGGACCGAGACGAGAGGGACCGAGACGAGAGGGACCGAGACGAGTGGGACCGGGACGAGTGGGACCGGGACGAGTGGGACCGGGACGAGTGGGACCGGGGACGAGTGTGGCCGGCACGAGTGGGACCGGGACGAGTGGGACCGAGATGAGTGGGACCGAGACGAGTGGGACCGAGACGAGTGGGACCGAGACGAGTGGGACCGAGACGAGTGGGACCGAGACGAGTGGGACCGGGACGAGTGGGACCGAGACGAGTGGGACCGAGACGAGAGGGACCGAGACGAGTGGGACCGAGACGAGTGGGGCCGAGACGAGTGGGACCGAGACGAGTGGGGCCGAGACGAGTGGGACCGAGACGAGTGGGACCGAGACGAGTGGGACCGGGACGAGTGGGACCGGGACGAGAGGGACCGAGACGAGTGTGGCCGGGACGAGAGGGACTGAGACGAGAGGGACCGAGACGAGAGGGACCGAGACGAGTGGGACCGAGACGAGAGGGACCGAGACGAGAGGGACCGAGACGAGTGGGACCGGGACGAGTGGGACCGGGACGAGTGGGACCGGGACGAGTGGGACCGGGACGAGTGGGACCGGGACGAGTGGGACCGGGACGAGTGGGGCCGGCACGAGTGGGACCGGGACGAGTGGGACCGGGACGAGTGGGACCGGACGAGTGGGACCGAGACGAGTGGGACCGAGACGAGTGGGGCCGGACGACGTGTGGCCGGGACGAGAGGGACCGAGACGAGAGGGACCGAGACGAGTGGGACCGAGACGAGTGGGACCGAGACGAGTGGGACCGAGACGAGTGTGGCCGGGACGAGAGGGACCGAGACGAGAGGGACCGAGACGAGAGGGACCGAGACGAGTGGGACCGGGACGAGTGGGACCGGGACGAGTGGGACCGGGACGAGTGGGACCGGGACGAGTGGGACCGAGACGAGTGGGACCGAGACGAGTGGGACCGAGACGAGTGGGACCGAGACGAGTGGGACCGAGACGAGTGTGGCCGGGACGAGAGGGACCGAGACGAGAGGGACCGAGACGAGTGGGACCGAGACGAGTGGGACCGAGACGAGTGGGACCGAGACGAGTGTGGCCGGGACGAGAGGGACCGAGACGAGAGGGGCCGAGACGAGAGGGACCGAGACGAGTGGGACCGGGACGAGTGGGACCGGGACGAGTGGGACCGGGACGAGTGGGACCGGGACGAGTGTGGCCGGCACGAGTGGGACCGGGACGAGTGGGACCGGGACGAGTGGGACCGGGACGAGTGGGACCGAGACGAGTGGGACCGAGACGAGTGGGACCGAGACGAGTGGGACCGAGACGAGTGGGGCCGAGACGAGAGGGACCGAGACGAGTGGGACCGAGACGAGTGGGACCGAGACGAGTGGGACCGAGACGAGTGGGACCGAGACGAGTGGGACCGAGACGTCTCCAAAGCTTTTGTCTCAAAGTTTTTATGGTCTCGGGCTCAGATCAATGCTAATGCTATCTCTGGGTGCTCAGAGGAGAGACCGTGAAAGTCAAATCCTTTCCGTTTAAGTTGCCGATCGGGCAGAAGTTTGTAGAGAACAAGGTATTTATTGTGATTGTACAAAGACAAACGGAACATTGTCGGAGCAAATCTAGCCGTAGATGTTAAAGTCTGTTAAAGAAGGCAAGGCAAGTTTATTTATATAGCACAATTCATACACGAGGCAACTCAAAGTGCTGAACAAAACAAGAAAGCATTGAAATCATAAATAATCACAGAACATTAAAAAGAAAGATAAAAATATAAAATCCCTCAGTTGTAGCACAGCTAAACAGAACTGTCTTTAACCTGGTTTTAAACATTGTCAGAGAGGAGGCCTATCTCACATCTTCAGGAAGATTGTTCCAGATTTTAGCAGCATGAATCTGAAAAGCAGCCTCCCCATGTTTAGTTCTGACTCTGGGCACTAACAGGAGTCCAGTCCCTGTGCTCCTCAGAGTCCCAGCAGGAGTCCAGTCCCTGTGCTCCTCAGAGTCCCAGCAGGAGTCCAGTCCCTGTGCTCCTCAGAGTCCCAGCAGGAGTCCAGTCCCTGTGCTCCTCAGAGTCCCAGCAGGAGGCCAGTCCCTGTGCTCCTCAGAGTCCCAGCAGGAGTCCAGTCCCTGTGCTCCTCAGAGTCCGGGCTGGTTCATATGGGACTAACAAGAAAACCTATAATACATCATCTTTGGCAATTCAAAGTTAAACTAGTGACCATTCACTTTGTCATTTAGCGTTTTAAAATGTGAAATATTGTATTAAGTAGAAATTATAGGATGAAACAAGTATTAAAGGGTAAAACACGCATTCTGCCTGTAGTGCCCTTTGCTGCCACCAGAGGGAGGTGTTTGAATAATCGTGAAACTTAATTATAAGCAATATTTTAAAGGCAGGACAAGTGTCTGAGTGTGATGTCACAGTGGTACAATGACATCATACTGTTCCAGGACTGAGCTTTTAGACAGAAGGGGCGGAGCTACAGGTTTGGGCCAGAATTCCCTGATATTTGTCCTTGCGTAAAATTTCAATAGTGGTCCACATCAGCTGTGTTAACTATTGAATCTGTGAATCTATGAATTCTGCTTCCATACGGATTCATTTTACTTTTTATTTTCTTGCCAAGTTACACACATAAAACAAACAAACAAGAATATGTGGAGAGATACACATTTTAACGGATACAACAGGAAGTGTGTGTGTGTGTATGTGTGTGTGTGTGTGTGTGTGGCAGTAATAGTTGCCGCAGAGAAGAGGTGAAAATAAAAATACGGATTCATTTTCCTTTGAACTTTTTGAACTGCCACTGAGTACTTTAAACAAAAAGTCCTTAAAACTCAAATCTGAACTCTGCACTTAAAGCAAACCAAAAGTGAAGTGAAAAGGGCTTTTCTGGTTTTGTGTCAAATTCTTCCCTTTCATTTGGCTGCTTTAGGCCTAGCGTACATGGACAGAGTAACTGGAGACAACAGTTTCCAGGCTGCTTTTGGCGACTGAGAGGAGATGATGGAGATGATCAGTTGAAATCGGTCGATGTGAGCGCTCTTACAACTGGAGATAAACAGTCGATCTCCGGATTCAGTCAGTTCCCCGTGTTCTACTTTTCGGCAACTAGTTCCGGAGATATCACCGATGTGCTCCAACAACATGTGTGTATTGTGTGTATAGCGCCCTCTACAGTTTATGTCAGAAAACACACTGTAGTTGACGTCAACTGCTGCCGATGAACCCGCTGTTATTCCCCAGACTGGCCTGATACTGGAGTTGCCCGTTTTCACCAGATTGTCCATATGTGCGGGGCAGGAACTCAAAGGCCACGGATATAATCAGTTGCCAGTCCGACGTACACTAGACATTACTCACCGCCTGTACAAAAGTCTAGTTATTTTTGTCTCTCTACAAGTAATCTTTTTAGTAATCTTTATTTATATACCGCCTTTTCACTGCAAATCTGAGTCTCAAAGCGGTTTACAATTGTTAATTTTTGGGCATTTGTCTCTCACTCCACACAGAGATGGGAGGGGCCAGTACAGGAGGCGCATGCCAGAACTATTGGACATATTTTTAGTGGTAGGGGAAACCGGAGTACCCGGAGGAAACCTACGCAGACACAGGGAGATCATGCAAACTCCACTCAGAAAGGCCCTGGTCCGACCGGGATTCGAACCCAGGATCTTCTTGCTGAGAGGCGAGAGTGCTATCCACTCAGCCACCGTGCCGCTACAACTTTCTTAACAATACAATTTATTATTTATACTTTCTCTCCGTGTCTTCATTCCCACAAGCTCCCATAAAGAACCTTGGTTTTCTGTCACCATTGAAAACTATCCCTAAGACTATTTTATTTGAATGAATTAGTGTATTATGTGTTTTAAATTGAGCGTTTTACAAGTTGACTTTGTGACATCACCAGAACGATTATCAACTATTGTCTCCATTATCTTTCCATTATCTCAGCTCGTTTTAAAGAATCATTATGCATGTGTGGTGCACGTCGGAACCAACACCAGTCCTTAATCAACAACACAAAGCCAACCACTTCCTACTTGCATGTAAATGAGCCCGGATCCCTTTCATGCATTGTACTGAAATTCACTTCGTTCCCTTCATATCTCTGCTTCTGCAAAACACCGATAAGTCTCACGTTACTGCCTCTTCTCTCTCTGCCTTGATCATACCCCGGGGCCTCCATATTACTTAAGTGTGTGTGTGAGAAACGAGGGCAGCCTGTGTATGTATCTGAATGGAGACGGAGAGGTGTGTAGCAGAGAGAATAGCTGGTTATGGATGCGCTGTGTGGAGGGGGGAGGCAGGATGAGTGAGGGGCCTGGATCTGCAAACAGCCACAGTTTAGAAGGAGACGGTAAATAACGGCTCGGCGAACGTCTCCGCAGCCGCCGCGACTCCAAATAATGAGGAAGTAGGATCTACGACGGAGCAGAGAGGGTGAGATATGGACTAAATATGCCTTAGCGAGTAGCATCAAAGCTGAGGTACCTACGTTTGTATCAGAAAACATTTTATTTTTGGCAGGTTTGTGAGAAAGTGAGCCACTGTTTAGTTAGTACGTAGTCTTTGTTCATGTTTCATAATACCAAGGTCACACAAAAGACTTAAAGGTGTATACAGGAGGATTTTCTACTTCCAGGTGGATCCTCAAGAGACTATTGGTCCTCCCACCTGTCAATCATTCTGGTGATACGTCCAATCAGACCAGAGAGTTATGTTTATAAAGTGGAGAGGGCGGTTCTTTCCTAAAATATGCCTTTAACAATGTTTTGGAATGCCTTTTTGGATACCATTCAATCAATTCAGACTTATTGTAGATGAATTTAAGAGTAGGGATAACATGAGCACCTGGAGGAAACCTTCAGACACGTCTCAGAAAGGTCTGACAGTGGAATCAAACCCAGGATATTCTTGCCGTGAAGCACAATTGGGCACGGTGGCTGCGTGGTTAGCCCTCTCGCTTCTCAGGGTTCGAATCCCGGTCGGAACAGGGCCTTTCTGAGTGGAGTTTGCATGTTCTCCCTGTGTCTGTGTAGAAGATTATGATTGAGCAGAGTGTACGGATGGATAAGGCCAGGCTACAGCTTCAATCACACTCAGCCATAACTTACTTACTCTTTCAAAATACTCTCAAAATACTCTTTCTCCTCCTTGTGCAGACCTGGCAGGACCTAAAAGCAGCGCGCACAACTCTGCCTCCATATTGTAATTATAGTATTGTATTTCTCAAAGCAGCAGCAGCAGCAGCAGACTTCTTTTTATAGTCGAGCTCTGTCTTTTTGTGCGTGGGGAGCGAGCTGAGAATAATTGAAAAGAGGAGAAATGTGTGTGATATTCTGATGAGTCACGGAGTTTGTTGCTGACCGCGGCCCTCAGTCGTGTGATTTAGCGTTTAACAATGAGCTGATCAATAACCATCAGGACCAATCCCTCAGTCTCTCGCTGCACACACATTGATTAGAGGCAGATCCAGGCCGGGAGCGTGGAGCCACTAACACACACGGCTTTGATATGAAGGACGAAAACACACTCACGTCCAGCGTCGTTTCAGAAAGAACCAGGAGCGTTTCATTCATGGGACTCTGAAGACAAAGGCTT